ATGTGACAACTGGCACCTTGAATTGCATCCAGAAGCCACTGGCAACCAGAGCAGTTCTTACGATGGTGGCTTTAGTCAGACAAAACAGAAAGCACTCTTAACTACTCAACATGGTCTTCTAGGGCAGCCCTGGTAGAATGAGCTAACATCAACTGATGGAAGAGGTGACCAAGGGATGACTGAACAGGATCTTCTGATTTAGGAATGGTCATGGCTTTGAGGAACCTCCATAGCAAGAAACAAAAATCTAGAGGATTTAGTTGAATGTACTTGAATGGTCAAGTGAAGGTCTAGAAAATAGTAATTTGGAAGGGGGTTCATGACTCTAGTACATGGTGGCCCGGAGGGGGAGAAAGGGTGGAAAGAGGGGATGGTTTTGTGGGAGGGGCAGGTGCGTGTGCACACACATGTGCGCGCATTAACACCCACTGCTCATGTGAATGGGGCTGAGAGCACCCGTGACACTCGCGCGAGTAAGGCCATGAGCACCTGTAATGCTCGTGTAAATGGGGCCACAAGTGCCTGTGATGCTTGTGCGAATGGGGCTGTGAGTGCCCATGACTTGTGTGAGGCCCTGAGCGCTTGCGCGAGGCCCCGAGCTTCTGCAACCCTTGCGCGAGTGGGGCCATGAGTGCCCGTGACGCTTGCATGAGTGAGGCTCTGTGCACACACGCTCACCAGCCAGCCACTCACGCAGCCCAGTTGCAAATAGGCCATGGACCAGAATTCGGCTGCAGCCCACAGGTTGGGGACCCCTGCTCTAGTAAAATAAGAAACAAACGGTTTGGGTCAGGAATTCTAATGTATATTTTCAAATATTTTCTCTTTTCTAGTTCTATCACAAAATGGATCATGTGAACATAGCTTCCCCTTTATGCTGGACAAAATTTGCTCAAGCAGTGAAATAACTAACATTAGTAGCAACTTTATCTTGATTCTTACTGGGGTAGCAAAGAGCCTCAAATCAATCACATCTTCCTTTCCCTGAGCAAAATACCTCCATTCTGTTTACCGCTGCATCCCCTATGGCAGAGGGCCCCAACCTTTTGGGCACCAGGGACCGGTTAAGTGGAGAGAGGTTTTTCCGTGGATCAGAGGGTGCATGGTTTTATGTGCTGCCTGCATCCTGTGGATGGGGCTTTCCTTATTTGTGTGGACCAGTTGCTGGAATGCCATGGCCCGGTACTGGTCCACAGACCGGGAGTTGGGGACCCCTGCCCTATGGATATCCTCTTTTATATTTTCTGTCCTTTGAGGGGAATTTCTTTACTTGGTAAAGATGATATTGGGGCAGCCTTTCTTATCATAGTGTATGCATCTGCATTTTTAAAGTAAACTAATATGTGAATTTGCCTTTTAAAAAGTAATGAAAAAATATGAGACAAAAATATGTTCCCAATTTCTTAATTATTACATAGGCCTTCATACGTGTCCCAAAACATGGCCAACTCAAGCTAGTTTCAGAGTAGGATATTTTCTATACTGAGACTATCTTCAAGCTTTCAGGAGGTGCTCAGTTCAGCCTAAGCCACTCCCATCTTTTTCATGCCTTTCAAGTGAGTTATTTTAGATTCTTTATTTTAGATTCTTAAAAGAAATGAAATGGGAGGCGAACCGACTCCAAAGTCAAGCCCTAATGCATAATCTTTATTTCCAGATATGTTTCTGCCCATGCCCAGAAGCATTCTGAAAAAGTGAAAATGATGGAACAAAATGCCAGAGTTAGGGTGAAGTGATAAAAAGGCTGGTGGGGAGGTAATGCACCAGTCTGCTTATTGGGAAAGTAATATATTATGACTGGTCAGGCTCCTTTCTGGTTATTATCCCCAAATTCCAAACATGTCATAAGTACAAAAAAAAACACCACCCCTCTTTGGATTTTTGCCCTCAATGTTCTGGAACTGTTAGAGAATAGCTGTGTGTTCTGATGACAATCCAAGCTGTGTGTTCTGATGACAATCCAAATGCCTTTTCAGATAGATTGATGAACCAACTGTTCTTCTATAATGGTACCTATCATATGCCAAATTTCATATAGAAAATCTGCTAGGTTTTTTTGCTCATCAGGCTTTTAACACGGTCAACATTCATCAAATCCTATTGACAGCTATGAAGCTTTGCTGATGAGCTATTTGATTTCTATTGCTGCAGGCTTCACTTTCTTAAGGCTGTAAAATGGAAGTGCACTGCTCAGTGTATTTCCAAAGGCCAGTTGCTGGGAAACACACAAAGGAAGGTACTATTATCTTTTGGTTTGGGGGTTCCCCTGGGTGTCTTGTTTTTAGAGACAGAGACTACTGAGGAATTATCTCCCTTTTGACTAATGTGGCTCCTGATGCTTTAGCAACAGTTGGTTGCCAAGCAGAAGTAACCTTTGCTTTTCTATATTATTATTATTATTATTATTATTATTATTATTATTATTATTATTATTATTTATTAAATTTATATACTGCCCTATCTCCCTTACGGGACTCAGGGCGGTGAACAGGCGATACTAAAAACCACGATAAATATACACAAGTGGTGGCAGTAGATCCACCTTATCTGAACAAATGCTGTTTCAACTACCTAGCATTCTTTTCCTCGCGTAGTCTTCAAAATACCACATTTTCTTCCCCAAATAGGGCGAGAAGAGAAGAGAAAGTGAGCTTCTTCGACCAATCCTCCTGTGCCTATAAAAAAAATTCAAAGAAAACTCCCGGGGTAGATGTCGTGTTTACTGACTGCACGTGGGAATGCATTTGACTCGGGGGTGGGGCGGTGGGGGGCGTTCAACTCTGCGACTCCAAGCAAATCCAGGTTTTCACTTCGACTCTGCTGCAGCGACGGGCCCGCGGAGGTTTCACAGACTTCCTTTTGTGAAAGGGTCATGTGCAAAACAGCTGGCTCCCCGGTGACAGCCCGGCTTTTATTTTTAATTTTTTTTTACCTTTCCATATCGCGTCTCAGTTGCTCCGCCACCAACTCCTTCAGCCTCCTCCTCTCCGCGGAACCCCTCTCGCCGCCTTTTCTTCCCGATTCTTCCCGGGGACCTCCAGAGCCCTTGGAGACCGAGTCCCCCCCACAACGCGCCATGGCATGAATTAAGAACCAGCCGGCGGTGGGACGGCATAGGCTCTTTTGGCCCGGAGATCGGATGAGTCACACCCGTGGCGGGGTTTACTCCCTACGTAGACGGCTCCAACGCCGGCCTTTGAAAGATGACGGAACCCCCTTTTGCGCTTAACGCTTCCCTTTGTTTCCCTCTCCTAACAACCGCACCGCTTCGTGTTGCCGGCGATCGTGGTTTGCTCGAGCGGGGAATGGCTTGGAACGAGCAGCAGTTTCATTAATGCCGGAAACTTGTTCGATCCGAGTCCTGCCGAAGACCATCCCGATTCTTCGTTCTCATTGGGCCAAGCGGAGAGCCGTAGGCCAATCGCGGTGTGCCGTCCTCAAAAGGAATGGCTAAATCCCCGCCTCCCCGTTGTTTATTATCCTTTGGAACACATGGCGGAGGCTGCTTCGGTGTAGACCAGGGATAGTCAACCTCGGCTCTTTTATGACTCATGGACTTCAACTCCCAGAATTCCTGAGTCAGCTCTGCTGACTCAGGAATTCTGGGAGTTGAAGTCCATGAGTCATAAAAGAGCCGAGGTTGCCTACCCCTGGTGTAGACTATAAGAGCAACTGACCGGAGGCTCTGGGTGGTAAGAGCTGAAATTCAGATTTTGATGGTGGAGCAGAATGGGTCTATATATAAAAGGAACTGGACGGGGAAACAAAATGAGGACGGAAAAGCACTCCTTTTATTCCCCCCCCCTTTTATTATTGTAAATCGCCTAGACTGGCTCCATGCCCAGATAGGCAGCAAATAAATTTAATAAAATAAATTTTGTATGAAGCTGTATTAAGTGTGTGGAGTGGTGGAGAGAGAGAGAGATGATAAATGACGGGGTCCTCGGTGATCTCTGAGCTTGGTTGTTTTCTTGCAGACATTTCATTACCCAAACTAGGTTAACATCATCAGTGCTGATAGTGTAATAATCTATTTGTAGAGATAATAATGGATGAACCTGGCCATGGGATAAAAATTATGAGAATCTGTCATTACATTATGATAAGGTTACATAATGCATTAGTCCCATAATCGTTCAAAAGGATTTTTGTCCATTGTCTAGCTTGGAAGGCATTACAGATCAACTATACACCAAAAAAACATGGCAAGGCTCATGAAAAGCAAACCACAGACACAAAAACACTAATGTGAATGCCTTTAATCCTGTATTTACAAGATTTGATGACTGAGCTTGTCTCTCTATGATCTTGTTTCTAAGAGGTGGATTGAGTAAGGATGGGAAAAGCTTTTAGTTATTGTTAATTCAACTGTAAAGTTTCAACTTGAGATGTCACAACATCAAAAACATTCCTGCTTCACTTTAGGGAAGAAGTCCTGAACTTCCAATGTTGATGAATGTGTCCTTAGCTATCTTAAAACTGAACTATATGATTGCCTGGCTACTGTTTCCATTAGGTTCCAAATAAGCTTTTAATGTTTTGAGAAAACAACACTTCAAAATTTGTTCTAGATATATACTATTAGAATTTAAATGTCCCTGGCTCTTTCATTATGTACTAAGTTTGCAGACTGGTCATAACAATGTGTAGATACAAGTAAAAGTCATCATACCATTTCCCAGAAAATAACACTTTTGACTTTTTAGTATTAATTGGTTACCTCAGGAAATGTTTATATTTATTTTTAAAAATAAAAGACAAAAATGGTAGCAATAAATTAGATAAGTTAGTTATTGTGGTAGTGACCATTCAGATAAACCTAGTAATTGTTAATGGATTGGTAATGTCCACCTCTTCTGTTATATATACAGAAATCTCAAAATTAAAAGACACAGGACACAATGCCAGTTGCGGTTTATTAGAACGAGAATAGAATATACAAGTCATGATTGTTCTTCATTTTCTATTTTAGTTTTTAAAATACTGTGTGCACACATCTTAATTTTTTAAAATTTATACCACTGCACAAGAAGCAATCATTTTTATGGTTATATCTGATTGATTTCCGGTGTGCCCAAACATTTTTAGACTTCTAAAATTATATATACTGTAGATCAAAAGATCTATTAACATTTTTAATGATAAAAATATAGTTAAAAAAATTCCAACCAGTAGAATGAAAATTGAACATTTTACCAATAATTGTTTCTTTTACAACTGGTACCCCTGCACTGAGATAATTATAAATTCATAAAAGGCACCACACATCTTAAAGCAAGTTAAGTAACCAAAACTAAGCAACTTTCTACGAGTTCCTTACTGTACAAGCACAAACATTTTAAGGCAAGTGTTCCATGTGCAAAATACACAATACAGGTAAAACCAACATTAATGTTACATAGTCTTACACCACCCTGGTAAGAATATTGGCATCAATATATACAGTACATTGAAAATATCTTCTCTAGCATAATTTAATTTAATATTTTGCTGTTAACGTGGCCTTGCTTACATTGAACTTTGATCTTTTAGCATTTCAGTTGTCCTGTCAAAAGAGTCACTCTCTTTTTCTTGACTCTTCTTTTAGAAAAGTCCATATCAACTTGTTCACAATGTCAGGCTGATCTTCTTGGAGCCAATGGCTGGCTTCAGACAGAACAGTAAGTCGAAACTGTTTTTTTACATAAATCCTTGTGATTTCCGCCATCTCAACCTCCATAAAAGGATCTTTTTCTCCCCATACCAATAGAGTAGGCATGGTGATTTCATGATGCTGCAGTGGCAGACAACTTTAAAAAGAAAAATATTTTTTTAAAAAAAATTAGGAAAAAAGTTCAGTTTAGTTATAAATCACAAGTTTACATTTGTAACTAAAATGGATGCAGACATGCACTTGCATTCTCATTGTACTATAGATCAAACAGGTCCCTCTCCAGGGACACCATAATGCACATGATAGATTTGGTTCAGACCTTTGCATTTTAGAATTAGTGACTGATCTGAAAATTTTATTTTTACTTTTAGCATTAAGTATTTTGACCCTTAGCGGTATATGAAATCAGTAACATTAATAACATTCCACTAAGCTGTATGGAATTTATATATCAGAACACATGCACAACTAACGTTTAATGCCTTATTGCAAAAATGCAGCAGCTTTTAATATACAGGTAGTCCTCATTTAGGGCTTGCCTTGTACATTGACTATCTGCAGTGTCTTCAGAGGTGAAGCAATTTTATGATCAAGCAATTTTATGACCTTTGCAGATACATAAAGGAAAGGAAAATGAAGTAAGATCATAAGCACAATCATGGTTTCATTTAGTAACTGCTTTGTTTACTGAGTTGCCAGTCCCAGTTGTGGTCGCTAAACAGGGACTACCTTAATGCACAACGTTAATTTTATGACATATAAGTATATAAATAACTGATTGCTCAGAACTGACCACGGACAGGTCCATCACACTTAGTTCAGAATTGTGAACCCTCATGCATTGACTTGGCTGCTGTAAGACAGCATGCTGCATTTTAAGCCCATAGCACTTGATTATGGGTCTTATTTACATTATTCTGTGTCATCAAATTCCAGTAAGTCTTGAAGGTAACAGTGTATTTATGAAAAATAAGATGGATTTATTAGCTTGATGCAGTAAGAGGAACTGACCTGAAAAGATTTCGATAATGATTAATGGGACCAGTTAACGCTCCTGGTTGGGAAAATACATAAAGATAAGCTTCAATGTCTTCTGCTGTTAACCCACAGCTTTTCTTTCCAATTCTACTGGAATGGCTGGTAAAGATGTTTTTCAACACCTGTATCAATATATAAGCAAATAAATAAAAGATTTTAAAAGCTGCCCCAAATTATTAAGGGTTGAGTGTAATGCAATCCAAGTGTAACCCCACAAGGGAAAGACATTGGCAGGTTCAACACACTTTCAAAATTTGCAGCAATATATTGATTTTGAAAAAAAAAAAAAAAAGACATAGCAGCTGGTTTCAACCCAAACCCTTAAAATTGCACTTGTGCTGCCCACAGGAATCTTCTGCATTGATTGCTGTGGAATCTATGATAGTTCAGGCACACTCTCCAACTAGCCAAAGAGGGGATGTCAATATGGTTTGCCCTCTTAATCCTAATCTCATTGCCATTTGTTTCATTGTGAAGAAAAAACATTGCGTGGAGAAAGGGCAAAATAATCTCTCAGATCCATCAGGGAGGATGGATGGAGGAGGAACCAGGACAAAGCAAGTATTCCTGCCAGCGGGAAACCACCTGCAGCTCCAGAGGAAATCATCAGGATTTTCTCAACCAGTACTAGAATTAGAAGCTTCACTGATAGATACTGTTTTACATTAAAGCTATTGTATAATTTTCGGATTAGCACCACTCGTTCGGAGACTGATGAAAGTTACGATGGCACTGAAAAAGGGGGATTTAAGAATAGTTTTTGAAGTTCTGGCTGTCACAGCATTCCACTGTTATGTGTGTTCATGAACTGGATCCTCAGTGCCTGGCTTACAATTACTATGCAACAGTGGGCTGCAGTCACATAATCATGATTTCCAATGTTCCAAGCTGGCTTCCCACAACAAAGTCAATGAGGAAGCCGGCAAGAAGTCAGAAACTGTTGATATTTTGCCTGTCTACATGCCGGCGCACCTGCTTACAGCACTTCTCTGCCCCTTCAAATGAAGACTCACGTAGAACAGGCTGTAGTAATCCAGAGGACAGAGTAGGGCAGTGGTGGCGAACCTATGGCACGCGGGCCGGAGGCGGCACTCGGAGCCCTCTCTGTGGGCACGCAGGCCATGCCCCAGAGATGGCAACCGTCCCTCTTCAACCACCCACCCACTAACTTGCTGAGGTCCCATGTGGCCGGATGCATCCCAGCACAGCTGGTTTCCCTCCCTCCCCCCCATCCCATCCCTCCTGGCCTCGCATGCTCTCCTTTTCCTGGGCACAACCCACTGCATTGCCTCCTCAGGTGTCGGCCGGCCGTCCAGCTCAGAGGCGGCTTCTCTGAACTGCTGGCGACAGGCTGCGGAGCCCCAGAGTGTGCCGGGTGAGGGGCCAGCAGGCTGTGGCTGCTGATGGACACTGTCGCCCCCCACGTGCTCGCTGGTCTCTGTGTGTGGGGGCCGATGGTGTCAGGCAGCAGCTGCCCCGGCCCCTGCCTCGCCTTGCCCTGTGACAATGGCACCCCTGCCTCGCCTTGCCTCACCTCGCAGGACGAGCCTCCTGCCCACCGCCCCACCTGCCAGAGACCCCCTGGATCTCCCCCAACCTTGCCCAGCCCTCACAGGTGTCCCTCCCCATGAGCAACATCAAGGTGACCATGGCCACCTTGGCCATGCCCACTCAGTCTGCCACGCCCACCCAGTGGGTTACGCCCACCTGGCACCCGGCAATAAATAAGTGGGTTTTGGGTTGCAGTTTGGGCACTCAATCTCTAAAAGGTTCACCATCACTGGAGTAGGGGCTTCTGAGTTACTTACTTAGTCAGACTTACTCTCAAATAAAAGAACAGCAATCTTGGCTTTGTGCATATGAAGTATACGTTTACCTACATGGCACAAGAAGAATGTTTCATGTATGTATTTTAGCTCCAAAATTTTAATGACTGTTAAAAGCATACCTTTCATATCTGCACATTTTTCCTTCAATAGTGCATGGAACCCATTCTTTAAACATACCCACCTTAAAATCGTTTACTGAAAATATAAGTTCCGGAAACCATGGCATTTGGAAGAAATAGTAGTTGGCAGATTTAATCATCTGTGATGGACACCGCACAATGTATTCTTAAAAAGAAAACCATGAGTTAAAATAAGAAACGATGGTCTTTATATTACGGTCAGTTATACTAATCTTTTGAAACAAGGAATTAATGTCAAATTTACCAAGATACAAATCCAATTATATTCAGTGCATTTTATTATTACTATAATCAAGATTGCACCCCCAATTCATACGTCAAATACCTTTCTTCCTAGAGAAGCAGAAACAGCTGGAATATTATTTAGCACATTGAGACCCTGTTTAGGCTTTTTTAAAGGAACTGGTAATGAAGGTAAAGGTGATGAGGAAATAGGAAGAATCCAAAAAAAGGTTGCGACAGAAATATGAATTCTTAATCTGGATTATGTCCTGTTTAATTATTCTCAACTGCTGCCCAAATAGCTCTCCTATAGGGAAGCACTGGGATTTTTTTTTTCTGGATCATTTTTCCCTACATCCCCAAGTAGTATATGGACCATTTTTGCATTCAATATTTCTTTTGCTGATTTTGTGCATTATACCAAACTTGGTCCTGTTCTATTTAGTTTTCACAGTTATCCTGCTGATGCATAGATGGACAGAGTCCATTTGTTTTCAACGTTATGCCAAGTTGGAAGAAATAATAAGAGATTGAAATTAAATCTGGAAAAAAATTGCTATTCAAGAGATAGATAGGGAGATGTGTTACGTGCCACATCCCTCTGGAACTCACTTCCATAGCGGTGTTCTATATTCCTAAGAATTGAAAAAAATAGCTCATAGGTCAACAATTTAAACCAGATTTTTCCGGGAGACCCTTTCAGATACATGAGCTTCAATACAAGTATTTTCCAGTCAGTGTCACCATTATTAAGAATTCTGGAGCTGAAGACTATTGAAAGGTATCAAGGTTAGGAAACAGATTATAACATCAAACTGAAAGAAGAAGCAGAAAAAGTCAAAACAATGAAGACATGTAGATAGTTAGATTTTTATCCTGCATTTTATCTCTGTTTATCTACATACAAATATTTTTATATTATACATACTTCCACATTTATTTACTTTCAATATTACTGCTTCCTTTTTTCCCTTAGAACAACAACTATGAGATTTGGGAGAATCCAAAGTTGGTGATAGGATTCACAGGTCTTAAAACAATTTTCCTCCCAGATGTGTTTGAATGATAGTTCCCCGAATTCCCCATCAGTATTGTGATAAGTACAGTCTTGGCATATCTGGAGGGAAGGACATCTTTCAGTACATTTATATTCACACATTCCCCCCGGCATATAGTCAAATATTTATACATACATACAAATACAGAATACACAGCTACTAATCAGGACAAAAATAACCTGGAGAAACTAAAGTACTCTACATTTCTGTATTTTTTCCAGGCAAACAGGGTTTTTGTCAGTTTTTCAGCACATTCAAGAAATTATGGGACAAACCAATGTATATAAGTCCTGTATATTTCATTCCTGTTTATTTTGCTTCAGTTGCTGAACTAAACAATTCCCTATTTATGACTGTTATAACCAGGCAGATGCAACTTCAAATTACCATAAAACTTTGCCCTAGTGACTTTGGCCTAATAATTCTTTCAGCTCTCCAATTGAAGGAAATTGAGGACATATATAAGCGATAATAATGGCCAAATACAAGCTGCTATTTTTTAGAAATATTTGCACTGCATGTCTTAATGATGCAGCTTTTTTTTTAAACTCACCTGTGAAAACGGAGGGATGCGGAAAATTCACAACAATAAGCTTTGTCACCATTTCTGGATAACAAATAGCAACTAGCCAAGCAATCATTCCACCCCAGTCGTGACCAATCAGCACACACTTGCTGTATCCTGTTGTTTAAAAATAGATTTTTGACAGATGTTTATCAACAGTTACACCCAAATAAATTAACACATCAAAGGAGATGACAGTGGATTTTGCAGTATACTTGCAAACAATATCTCACATTTTTCCCCATTGGCAAATGATTTACACCACCAGACGTAGGTGATCTATTAATAAACTTTTCAAGAATCATAGCTAACAACCTAGCAAGAATAAGGTGGGAAATTTCAGTATGTTTTCTAATGTGCCTGAAATTTCTACTTTCATCCTTTGTAACTAGAGAATATTTATAATTCTATTTTACCAGCTGGACTTAAAAATGATTTGCAAAAAATTAAGTAGAAAAGAATGAATTAATACTAATTAGCTACAAAACTTTACTCATATAATAGCAGGTTTAAAACACTGATTTATGATGATCTAATTCAATCATGATCATAATTAGATGATTCAGTCAGAAAAGGTTTGAGATGATCCTTTGAATATTGCTTAAACAATACAAATCCAATGTCATTTTGGAGTGCAGTATATTGTTTGGACAATTATATTTTGTCTAAATTTATAGGACCATGAATGATATTAATTCAAGAAATAGTACATAACTCTTTCAAGCTGCAGTAGCAGTACATTAAGAATATATATGTCACCATTCCTTTCTAGTCTGCCTCTAACTCTCGTCTTATATTGTTTCAGTCTTCCATGTAATTAAAGAAAGAAAAAAATGCCCTTATTTGATTAAATCTAAGTTTTCCATTTATTTTATGGGACTGTAGGTATAGATGTGGTATGTTTGTGGTGAGATTTAACTGTATCTTTTTAAAACCAATATATTTTAGTTTGTTAATAACTTTTATTTAAAAAAATCTTCAAAATTATTATCTCCCAAGATTTCTGAACTGCTGACTTAAGTTAAAGATACCAGGAATTATATAGGCATGAAATATTGTATGTGCCTCAAACTATACTTATCTCAATAAAATGTTATGTGTATATCAGAACATTCTATGTGCTTTTTGCTGGTGGGCTGTGGATGTCGGCTTCATAGATAGTCTTTAAATTAAGATTATTCACTTGAATAAAGTAGCATGAACATACAGTACTTGGTAAAACTGGAGTTTGGTTGGACCTGGCCAAAATGTGTCAAAAACTAACTACTACTTATCTTAAAATTAAGAGGAAATTTTAAATGTGCATAGGTACAGTTAAGCTAATCTATAGCTTACCTATCTTATTAAAATATATTATGTGGAAATTTCAATTGACCAAAGTAGGTGATGGGCAGCAGAGATCCCTAAGCTTCAGATCATCAATAGAGCCTGGGCAAATCCTATCAGCAACATTATCAATGAAGCACTGTAGAACAGACATGTCAAACTCGCAACGTCACATGACCTCACGAGACATATCGGGACAGTTTTGCCATTGCTGGCAATAGGGTGGGTGCGGCTTCCGGATGATGCATCCGGCCCGTGGGCTGGCAGTTTGACACCCCTACTGTAGAACATGTATATGGCAAGATATATAGGAGAAGAATTAAAAACACTACTTTAAATCCAGGACGGCTATATGTCAATTTAAATTGGTAGGCAAGGAATAAATCAAAGGTAACCATGCAAATCTGACTTTTTAAAAAAAAGAGCGGGCCATCTCCTTGCCATGGTTAATAGTACATGAGGATAAACTTTTAATTTTATCAATTATTGGTTTCCTTGTATTTTCTTTTATCTCCTGCCCTCATAACATCAACTTCTCACTCTTTTTCTGTATTTTTTCTAATATGGCTTATCCTCAAAGAAAATAACATAGTGGATATGCATTTGTGCACTGACTGAACATTTACCTTAATTATAGAGACTGGAGAAATGTTCTAGTTAACATTGTTTCTGGGTGAGAGGAACTGTTGTGGGTGGTTTGATAGTATATAAAAACAATTATATCACACAGTAAATTTATTAAATCTGAAAGTGCTCAATGAGAATGTTATCCTAAAGTATGAGGTTGCATTAAATGAGATTCTGACCATAAATAAACATAATTACTGTGTTACAGGTATTTCCCCTAATCTGCATTCCAATTAGCAAAAACATTCAAAACCTTTTTCTTTTGTTTTTAGCTAACAAGAGATTAATTTGCATCGAATCTAACCTTTTGCGGGAGAAAAGGGCTTCATCCTTTGGGGAGGAAACCAGAATCCAGCAGAACTTCCCTATGATGGGAAGAGGTAATGAGGTGATATTTGGCTTTTCCCCTCAGCCCAAAATGCTAGAGCCCATTTTCAAGAAGAGAGCAAATTGCAAGAAAAATAAAATTGTCTATCCCTTCAGTCTACATCACAATTATCCAATTCACAGCATGACTGGTTTATGCTCTGAAGCTTCATTGTCTGGAAAGACCATTCCACATCTATTTTAAGCATTGGCACGTGAGCTCTAGATATACAAAAAATCAATTAAATAATTAAAAATCCCCAAGATTTTTTAAAAAGAAACAACGAATTGTAGGAACTAAATTTACAGCAAGAGAAGAATATATGCTATATATATATATATGCACATCAACAATCACCTCAAAAAGGGCTTTGTTAAAGGAAATATATTATCATCTAGCTACTCCCTTTTCCAGGATTATTATAAATTGGGCAGCAGGGCTGCAATTCACACACCAAGAGACTCCAAGATATCCTTTATATCTGTAATCAGACAATCTAGCTTGTAATTCTCTCGGTGGGAGGGAGCATCTGTTTCTCCATAACCTCTCAAATCCAAGGCCACAACTCGATATTCACTCTTAAATTCACGCATTTGATGTCGCCAAGAGTACCTAGCAAAGGAGGAGAAGAAGAAGAAAGTTTTGCTTCATACTATTTAATGTTTATATGCCATTCTGACCTTTTTTGCAAAAGGTGTTCATATGGGAAGGACAAAATGGAATCATAAAACCGAAGACAGTAAGAATATTTGCGCTAGTTAATCAAATGTTAAAAATATAAAACTCCTGTGAAGTCAGAACAGAATCAAACTGTGAAGACCTGCATTACAGGTAGTCCTCGACTTACAACCACAATGGTTTATGTTGCTAAGTGAGAACTTTGCCCCATTTTAGGACCTTTCTTGCCACACTTGTTAAGTGAATCGCTGTAGTTGTTACGTTAGTAACACAGTTGTTAAGTGAATCTGGCTTCCTCACTGACTTTGCTTGTCAGAAGGTCACAAAAGGGGGATCACATGACCCCCCTGGGACCCTTCAACTGTCATAAATATAAGTCAGTTGTCAAGCATCTACATGTAAATCCTGTGACCCTGGGGGATGCTGCAACGGTCGTAAGTGTGAAAAATGGTCATAAGTCACTTTTTTCAGTGCTGTTGAAACTTTGAATGATCACTAAATGAACTGCTGTAAGTCCAGGAATACCTGTACTTGATGCTTTCTTGTAACGATTGTCACTATGTTTAGCTGAATGTGATGGAATCATAGTTCATTTCATACATAAACCAAACCATTGTTTTAAAACTATGTCTTGTTGAATAAATCACAGCCTGATTATACACAACACTAATCTATTAAACTAATATCTACACACCTCTCTCTAGCTTGCAATGCATAGATATTTTTAATTGGAACATCAGAGAGACGCAACCTGAAAACAATCTGACAACAAAAAAAAAAGAGGACGTTTAAGTTGATCAAAGGAGCTTTGGATATTTTAGCAGGCTTGGTTGATTTAGCACTAGCTGCAGATGTGTTTCTAATATATTCCCTGGATACAAAATAAATTTTGCAATGATACAGTATTTTATCATCCAACGAACATTATTTTATTCCTTGCAATACTGCCATTGAAGACTCAGGCACAGTAGTTCCATTTCCAACCACTTTCACTGAATCTTATACAGTCAGATATAATTAAGAGAGATCTATACAGTTAGGATTGTAATTCCTTTTGAAGGAGATTCTTTCTGGACTAATAGTTCCCTTTCCCCAAACTACTCTCACGATCTCTCTGAAAATAAATACGGTATAGCCATAAAGATGGCTAAGTGCTGAGGTATTAATGGCTTTCAGTAGCCCTGGGGATCTTGAAAAAGCGACAGCAATAAGATGCAAAGATAGCTGTTTTCTTTATCTTTCTTCCTTTCAAAAACCAACAACAATGCACACAAAGGAAATATCTGGGCCAGAAATATTAGGTCTCAAGAGCATTTTGTTGGGAAAAGAATTATTTTTCAGAGGGAAAACAAAAGTAACATGTTCACATACTGTAACCAATGGAACATATCAAATGTGAAACAAATTAACTTCAGCGCAAACTTTCTAAGATTTTATTAATACTTACTTAACATTATTCAGTTGATTTCAGCCGTCCCTTTCCAATGAAAGAAATTTTTGATTGACTGTTATGAGAAAATGTCCTAGCGGTCAAAATGAAATCAATCACCCAGAAAAGGACTTTTTACTGTGTGGGTTCAGCTAAAGACTAATTTGATTGTTGGACTGAATCTAAATGCCACAATATACTGTGCCTTTCTGATTCTATGAAGATCAAAACTGTTAGAGCATTTTTACCACTAAAACTATCACAAAATGATACAGAGAAATGAATTGCATAAACAAAAGGATATGCATTGTGTAATTATTTATTTGCAATATTTATTAACTATTAATGAATAGTGCTATTCAAGTTTAGCAGGACAATCAAAATTGAACGGGCTATAGGAATAGCACAAATAAAAAAGGTTGGGCTTTATAAATCAAGGATATAAGAAATACAGAAATCATTATCTCTCACAAACTGCTAACTTTTCTGTATATAATAAAGATAAGAGAGAGTACTAAGTAGTGTGTGTTTCTCTGTAGATACTTAATATATAGTATTTTGTGCAAATCACTTTGTAACAGGGTAAATATTCTTATCTATCCCATTGATAAATTCAGGATCTCCTATCCCAATCTCTTAACTGGGCAAGATGTGGGGTGTGAGGCCATCAGACATATTTTTATACTCCATCATGCAATGGCTAAAGAAATCCCAAGCCCACAAGTGGAAAATGTGACTAAATTGCTGAATTTGGAGATTTCTAGAATGTCCCCCAAAACCAGGGCTTTTCAACCTTTTCACCCATTTTACCACTTTTAGGATATGGCAATATCCAAGTACCACCATCGCCTAGCAAGGTGTCAAAAATCTGATGACCAAAAAAAAAAAAAAAGGAAAAAAGTGATAAAGTACAGGTAGTCCTCAACTTACAACAACAGTTCGCTTAGTGACTGTTCAAAGTTACAATGGCACTGAAAAAAGTGCCCCCCAAGCCACAGCCGAGCAAGACACCTGCCTGCCCGCCCGGCAGCGCTCTTCCTCCTGTCCGAGGTTTCCATTATTGTGAGCATTTCTGTTGAGGATTGGCAGCGGAGGTGGGGTGGGGGGTGTTTGGTTTTTATTCCCGTCTGCTGGGTGGTTGCAGCAGGTTTGGGTCACTTCACATGACCCTGGGACACTGTGACCGTCATAAATATGAATCAGTTGCCAAGCATCTGAATGTAAATCACAAGACCCTGGAGAGGCTGCAACATTCCAGCTGATTGGCGCTTCTTCTGGGCTCAGCAGAAGCACCAGGATCAGCGCCGAGCTCCAGCTGGAGCCTGGCACTGATCCTGGCGCTTCTGGTGAGCCCTGACAACCCTGAAAAAGTGCCGATCAGCTGGAAAGCGGTACTGATCCTGGCGCTTCTGCTGAGCCCTGACAGCCCTGCAGCTCCAGCCATCTCTCACTCAGGCTTGTGCAGTGCTGCCACCGGTTCAGCTCATTCCCCTCCCCCACTACCACTTTTCTAGGATGGTCGTGTACCACCTGCCAGGTGCCAATGTACCACAGGTGGTACCCGTACCACTGGTTGAAAAGCCCTGCCCAAAACAGTAGATCCATTCTGAAGATGTGACTGGAATCTGATACCGTTCTTTGTGTGGCGATAGGCTCATATTCTAGCAAATCTTGGGAAACTTGAAGGAACACAGATAATATACAGTATATGTCCAAAGTGTTGTTTTCTTGGTTACCATGGTGAATAGAACAATATTCTAGAAATATCTTTTAATTTCTAATTTGTTTTCTCAAGGAGAAATTGTTTCATGAATATCCAAGGGTACTATTTCTGGAAATCAACTCATCCCCAATATTAGCATTTGTACATCAGCGTATTATCATCATCAATATAGTTTTAGTGCAGAATCCTGTTATACAGGATACACATTTATACTGAAGTCATGTTTTTCCCAGTGACATGACCACTGCTGTGAATACAAATACCATAAAGTAAAGCTACTTAAGTCTCAGCCTGGATGAAAATGTGAACAGCATCAGAAAATGATGTTTTCCCCTATAGGCACAGTAAGGTCTGAGCAACAGTCTTTGTAGCAACTGAGAAGAAACTGAGCCAAGAGCTTTCTCTCAGCCTGCCTTTATTCTTTGATTTGTTTATGTATCTAAAATGGTCCCATGCTGGTTTTTGTCTCATCAAAAATTCATATACTAATGCAAATATAAGTATAAAGCAGTAGAGCAATATTTAAATATAGGTGCCAAGAGATTTTCTTCAGGAAGAATATTCCATAATTAAGGTACCCTAGTGGAACACACACACACACACCAACCACCTTGGGACTGAATAACACACTTCTAACTCAGGGCTCTGCTAGATGATCCTAATGTAAGAACTCCATTAGTACTGCTCCAATAAGATTTTTCCAGGAGAACTGGGCATATTCTCCAAAAGAGGTATCAGAACACACAGGAAGAACTTTTTCAGGTTTTGTGTAGCTACCTTGGAAACTGCTTTCAATTGTTCCTGTGGTAGCTACAGGTTTTTTTCCCCACAATGAAGTGAAGTGGTTGAGTATACACGCATGTCTAGACACAGTGAGAAGCACCGTTCAAAAGAACATGTGAGCTTGGAAAAAGACACTATGGCTTTAAAGATTCAGAATTAGTTGCTTCATACAGGCTCCCACATATTCTGAAGCACCCATTTTTGAAGGATTTGCACAACCCTATAACTCCTATGCATTATGTATGAACTGAGTACAGGATTAAATGTATTGCTCTCATTGTATGCACATTATAGGATACTTACAAGCAACAGTAAGCAGCTAATTTTATCTTCACATCTTCTGCACATTTACTGATTATTAAACTTGCTCTAAATTTTGCCTTAGGACATTAGCTTTTAAATCTGTTACATACACAGGTTGCTGTTGCAAAACTAATTTAATTTTAGATTACCTCATCTAAAAATGAAGAATTTCTTCCAGGGTTATACTCCTATTAAGAGGTAATTATTTCATCTTGTAATTTCAGTAATGGAATCTTCTAAACAAAATGTAATAACTGCACAAATACTATGTTTTTAGCAGGAGCATTTTATGCTGTGATTTCCCTATAATCACTGTATGTCCTCTTAACTTTCTAAATTATTTTAATTTTGTCAGTACGGTGTGCTGAAGCAACATAACAGTGCTATTTATATTAATGGTGTGACTAAAAGCAGTCCATGCCATTAAATTGGTTAGACAAACAGCAGTGAAGTGGGTGGGTGTTGTTTTCCAGTCACTCAATGGAGCAGGATCCTCAGTTGAAAACAGGATTATTGATCCAGTACATAAAAGTAGAAATGCAAGTCATATCAATTAGAGTAAGAAAGCAAGCAAGCAGGGAATTTACCAGAACTCTGGAAAGCCATGAAGAAGCAGCATAAGAGGTTTACCCCTCTCTCCGGCAGCTACATAGTGGAATCTCAGCCCAGAATCCTGAAAAGGGAAGGGAAGATAGATTGCATTTTTATATTTATATATATACTTAGGAGAGGTAAAGCCTAAGCGGTTAAAACAGTGGTTCTCAACCTTTTTAATGCCGCGACCCCAACCGGTCGTAAGTGGAGGACTAAACCGGTCGTAAGTGGAGGACTAAACCGGTCGTAAGTGGAGGACTACCCAACCGGTCGTAAGTCGAGGACTTTCCCTGCCCGGGAGCGCCGCGCATGCGTGGTTCCGCCCCCTGCACCGGCCGAGGCATAGCTGGCAAGCGGCAGAGACGGAGCAGGCCGACCACCAGCTGGCCCAGCCCAAGGGAGGTAAGGCACCCGCCGGAAAAGGGGAAAAAAATGGCGGACAAAAAAAATGGCGCACAGCCTTGCTTGGCGACCCCCATGAAATGGTCGATCGACCCCAAATGGGGTCCCGACCCACAGGTTGAGAACCACTGGGTTAAAAGATGATGAGCTGGTTAGGAGGGGTGGTTAGGAGCTGGTTAGGAGGGGTGAAGACTCAGTGGTTAAAAGATGATGAGCTGGTTGGCTGGAAAGCTGACAGTCCAGGTTCGAGACACAGGTGCCACATGACGGGGTGAGCTCCCGTTCCTGTCTCAGGTCCTGCCCATCTAGCAGTTCGAAAGCATACAAATGCGAGTAGATTAATAAATATCCCTTCAGTGGGAAGGTAAAAAGCGTTCCATAAGCCTTTCGCGTATAGCAGGGATCTTCAAACTTGGTCCTTCAACTCCCAGAATTCCACAGCCAGCATGTCTGGCTGAGGAATTCTGGGAGTTGAAGTCCACAAGTCATAAAAGGGCCACGTTTGAAGACCCCTGGCGTATAGCCATGCTGGCCACATGATCATGGAAAATGTCTTCGGACAACGCTGGCTCCCTTGGTCAAGAAAAGGAGATGAGCACCATGCCCTAGACTCGGACACAACTGGACAGGGAAACCTTTATCTTTACCTTTTATATAATATTTATATGTTTATATTTATGGAGAAAAACAACAATAACAAAAACTAGATTGGCAGCATTAGTAGTCAAGTAGCATGCAAATGGATCAAGACTTTCCTGTATTATTAAGATTTTAAATGTAGTTTGTTCTCCTGGATCTCAGTCTGCGTCTGCCATTTGTCTGTGTCCGTGTGTAATCTGAGCTGCAATATCTAGTATTGGTTTATTGTTACTCTAAGCAGTTAAATGGTCCCCTTTCATCTAAATTATAGCTCATACAGATGTAAATACACATAAATATTTGTAATGCAAAGGACATCAGAGTGACACAACAGATCTACTGTATTTGTGAGAATATTTCTCCCTACTGCATCTAAAGTAGATACTCCACAATTACTAATTTAATGAGCACAAGTGCTGCTCCCACAAATAAGCTCTTGTAGAAATTTCTCAAAGTACCTCCAGAAAGTAAACGAGCAGAGGATCAAGAAGCCCATTTCAGGGTTGACTGCTTTATTGTGACTTTGCACCAATGAAATAACCAGATTAGAGGGGAACTGGCTTAAAAGAGAAATGGCAGATTGCAAAAGCACTGTGTGAAAAAGAGAGCTAATGGGTACCAGTGACAATATTTTGCAAACACTGCCCTCTAGCATTCTGTAACGAGGACTCTGCAAAATTAAACGCATCTGTGATTAAGTATTCAGCAGGATGCTGCAACAGCAACAGTATTATACTGGCTTCCCACAAAGGCACCAAAAAGATCTGTGGCATGAAAAAGACTGATGCATTTTCTATAGAATCGGCTTTTAAAGCTGTTACTTATATCACCCAAAATGTAGTTATTCTGATTTGTATACCCTATCTTCACATCTACACATCCTGAAAAATGGACCCTTATTTATTTTACAACATTTACCAACTGCCTCAATCTGAGTAACTCCCAGCAGCACACAAGAGCAAACCAACACTCAGAAGACCCAAAAATGTAACTAATACTATAGTGAATGCCGACACATGATTGTACAGGGGGAGAGGAAATAGAAATTTAGGGGAAGAAAACAACATTCCATCACTGACACTCAGCAGTAAAATGGCCACATTTCAGCAGCACAATATTGGGCTGTTTTTGAGGGTTTGCAGGATTTTAAGGATAGAAATGGTGATATTTTGTCTCATCCAGTAAGAATCTCCTGCTCCTCTTTGGACCCTTATTTTAGAGGAGGGGGTAACCTGCAAAAAATCAGCAATTTTGTGGTCAAATATAACGTGAGGATGCCAGGCGAGTGCAAATGAGCTACTTAGTATGTTTTGTAAACTACTGTGGGCTTAGACTGGGGAAATCCTAGTTTAAGTTTCTGCTCAGCCATAGTGGTTTTACTGTGGGCCAGTTACTTTCCTAAATCCATCCATCTCACAGGGTTGTCGATGGGAAAACAATGGGGGATTGAGCTTCCACAGAAAAGACAGGATCCATATGTCATGCATGCATGATAAAATCTTAAACCACGGCTTAACATTAGACCAGAATCCATTCAACACGTATTTGTTACCTCATAAACACAAGGTTTCTTCCTTCCATCAGGTACCCAGAACCAATAGCTGAGGAGGACAAAAAAAAATGGAGACAATGCCGCTCCCCAAATCCAATTGATTGACACCTCTCGGGAAACCTCCAAATACCAATCTATTTCCCTTCAAATACTGTCAGCAAACTCCCCTTCTGAATTATTGCACAGTGAAAGCATTGCAAAAATTTGAGGTGAAATATCTGCAAAAAACCTGTTTGATCCTTTGGTACCGTAATAAAGAATCTGTCAAGAAGGTAAATATAGTGAACCTGGAACATCTCTATTCCAGGAAATCCATAAGGTTGGAGTTATTACCCCAAATTTGTTTTGTGAAGAGCTACAGTTCATAAGAGACACAATTACCTCTATTTTCTGAAGTTAATTTATCCCAATGTCAATGTAACATTCCAGGTATTGGATAAAGTTAGCTGTAGGCCATGCACACTTATGCCATAATAAACATGTGGTGAAACCTGGATGGAAAACATCACTTGACAGGAGAGGAGATGCTCATTTCTTCTGCAAGGCCATTATATCACAAATTACACAATTTGCAGAAATGTATGTCCTTTGCGTAATGACATCATAATGGGAGTTACCTAATTACACTGTATTGACCCGAAGGAGGTAATTCGCATCATTTGTGCAATGGTGCCATTATGCAAGGTATAATAATAGCTATGAATGATGAGACCTTAATGTAAAATTAATGTAAATTGAACTACCTCATCTGGACTTCTTCAAATGCATCTGTCCATTATTTGGGGGGGGGGGGTGATGGCTGGACAGACACCTGGCTCATTTCATCAAAAATCCCTTGAAATCAAAGTGCTACTGTATTAGTATTTAAAGTACCACAATCTGCTGCTGTGGATAAACATGGTTCCTTCTCTGGATGCTTTTTATGGACCATAGCGATGCTCAAAAAGCTGCTGTCTCGCTCAGCTTACATGGTTATTTTTCATACTCTTTCAGTTCAAACAACAAGTTCTCTGCTGAGGCTGCTAATAAGGACACCAACTGGGCACTGTGAATTCTTGTCTGTTAACAATTATCTTAAGAGCTTCTATTCATTGCATGCTGACATCAGACAGCTGTGAGAGACTACCACCCAGATGCAATGTAAAAATGTATCCTAGGTTTTTGCACTGGATAATTGCAAGATATCTAGACAGCTGACTTCTGCTTCCTTCATATGGCAAACTAAGGTTTGTGGTATAATTACAATACAGAACTATAATTACCACACCGGATCATTAGAAAGCTAAGACTAAGACATCTCTTCAACAGATTTTAAACAAAATATCCTTGTCTTGGCTGTTCCCCATTGTGGTTCTTCACAAAACTATTTCCTGTAAGTCTTTTTACTACAAATATTTACATATGTAATGTAGTATTTACATATTCAAGTACCTACAATAGCCCTGCTTTGCTCAGTGTATTAACATACAGTGCTGGTTTATTGCACTGTATGAACTCAGCAAAATATGGTCTATAAAACAAACACAGGTCAGTGTGTATTCAAACTCAGTCAGACATGACATAAAATATAGTGTATTATGGCAAAATGTGCTGTGTGAATTCAGCTGTAGTTTATTACATAAGCCATAATTAAAGAAATCATAGCCTTGCAAGTTATTATAACAAAACCCCATTGTTAAAGTTCATTTTATATCAAGGTAATTCAGTTTTGGATATTTTTAAAACTACGGAATGCATTCTTACTAAGAAAATAAACACAGAATTCATTTTACAGTGCTCCTCCCCAAAAAGTATTTGAAATCAGTATTTGTAGCCCAATACACCATTTTGAAAAAAAAATCTATTCAGCGCATTAATTTAAATGAAATCATTTTTCTCCATTCGGCCTTGTACCCACTTCTGGACGCACATATTTAGGAAGGGTATTTACAAATAGGAATGTGTATAACCAAGAAGAACAACTAATACAATGACTAGCAATGATGATGTTACCTAGTTTGGGTATGAAACCTCTGCAAGAAAAAAAAAAAGCTCAGAGAGCACAAAGGACCTTTAAGACAATAAGGCCCAGAAGGAAAATGTTATCAGGAGCAATTGAAAGCATAGGATAAGTTTAGCCTGGAAAAGGAAAAAAAAACTGCAAGAGTTTTGGTAACTTTCTTCAAATATTTGAAGGTCACATAGAACAAAAAAATAATAATAATTAAATAACTGGATGAAAATTTAAATGACTGGATATCATAAAATATTCCTACCGGTAATGGTAAGAGCAATCAGCAATGGAACTAATTGCCTTGAAAGTGGTAAACATTCCTATGCTACAGCCATTTAAAGAGAGGCTGGAGAGCAGCCTGTCAGGGATACTACAGTAATGCTAGAGTAGTAGATTCCTGGGGCAAGCAATGGACTAGAGAATTTCCATTATCCCTTATCTTCTATGGCTGTAATAGTATATGATAAAGACCTTGAAAGATGGGTGAAGAAATGCTGCCTAGGGGACAGCCAAATAACAGAAGGGATAGCCCACAGCTGCATAATGGGTGGAGAAAGAGACTCAGGTTGTAAAGGAGATAGTGGAGATTTGTACTTTCAGATTTGGAAGACTTTTGGTGCAATGCTTTAGCTTGAATAATTAGTGTGCAAGGTAAGTAATAATTAGTGTGTCATTGCTGCTGCAATTAAGCTCTTACTGAAAAAGTTACACATATAGCTATCCATGCAACATTTACCAGAGACATGTGATGGGAAACAATTCAGATCTGCTTGCAGGCTTTTCCTTGACATCTATTGATCACTGCAGGGTATCTATCCTAATCCAATAAAAGTTCTTAAAATGGCCTATTGTTTCAGCAACTTCTTTAGTTCTAAGATGCCAAGGAAATTGTCACAAAAGGTAGTGTGAGATAAACTTTTCTAGAAGTGGTAGAAAAAGCAAGGGATGGGAGAAGTGACAAATAGTTCTCAAATAAAGCCAAATGTGGCCAACTGTCATCAAGGTTATTATTTTGATTCACTCTGAATTTGGAGATGCTTTATTGAAAGCAGATATACCTTTTAATACAGAAGAAAGAAACCATGATTGCCCCATTTCCGAAGACTGTAACTCTGATCTGTTTTGCCTGAGGAAGTCAATATGTATTTTTTTTTAAAAAAAAAGATTGAAAGGAAGCCTAAGAAACACTCAGCCTGAAAAAGCCAGTTTATGTACCTCAATCCATTTGAAAGCGGCAATCACACAATATATGGTACATCACTGATTAAAACTCAATTTTCTGGGTTTACATGATACCCAGAAATATCAACTAAGTATACAACTGGAATTGTGTAACACACCAAACCAAGATGTGGTTGGTCAGTTTGTGTCTTGCTGATTCAGCCATATAAGTTCTGTAGCATGGAAGGCAGAATCCTATTTCTGGAACCAAACTATCTTTGTCCGCTAACTGCTATTGTTAATCTCTTACAATTTATGACCGTATAAGAGTAATAGAGCCAGTTGGTAAAGGCTTCTGGTTAGAAAGTAGGAGACTGACGGACCTGGGAAAAGAGGCAATAGCAAATCACTTCCAAAAACTTTGCCAAGAAAACTGCAGGGCATTTTCCAGGTAGTCTCCAAGAATCGGATGCAATTGACCCCATCATTTCTATTTTCTTCTGCAGCTCCTAGTAAAAAACTATTGTAATAGACTTTTTTTAAACATGAAATGATGATGTTAAGTCTTTAGGATAACAGCAGTGGTTAAGGATTAACGACAGAGTGAATGGAGATGGGAAGTAATCGTGCTCCAACACTGGAAGTTTTTAAGAAGAGACTGGTCAGCCATTTGTCTGAAATGGTATAGGGTTTCCTGCCTGAGCAGGGGGTTGGACTGGATGACCTCCAAGGTCCCTTCCAACTTTATTATTATTATTATTATTATTATTATTATTATTATTATTATTATTATTATTATTATTATTATTATCATCATCATCATCATCATCATCATCATCATCATCATCATCATCATCATCATCATCTAAGTCTACCAATATCTGAGCTGATGATGGGTAGTTTTAATGTGTTTAGAAAATATGTTGCTACTGAAGTTGTGGGGGACCACAAAACAAGACAAGCTAAGTGTTTAGAAAATATGTTGCTACTGAAGTTGTGGGGGACCACAAAACAAGACAAGCTAAAGGTGACCTTGGAGCAAAGCTTTGCAAGGGGCTTCCTCAAATTTAGCAAGAGATTACATGACATTTCCTCCTTGTCTACTGTGTTGGAAAAATGCCATCAATGGCAAGGCAGAAAGAAGAATTACCCACACTAGTGAGCGTTTGGTCTAGTGGTTAAGGCAACAGGCTTAGAAAACAGGAGACCATGAGTTCAAGTCCCACCTTAGCTACTAGAGTCAGCTGGGTGACCTTGGGCCAGTCACTCCAGCCCCACTTACCTCACAACTCCGTTGTTGTGGAGAAAATAGGAGGAGGAAAAGTATGATGGGCATGTTCGCTGTCTTGAGTTAGTTGTAAAAATAAATGGGATATAAATAAATGAATATTTTAAAAACCATCTTTCTTGCATATTATAATTGGAATCAATATTGTACTATAACTCGGTCCATTTAGCAAGAGGCAGAGCCTACATTAATTCTTGATTAAAGTCCTAAGACTAGTTACAAAGCACCTCTGGAAAAGCTGCATAAATATATTTGCAGCTCCTGTCAGCTTCCTGGAATATCTTGTTTTAAGTCCATTGGTGGGTTCAATTCCCGTTTTGTTTTGTTTTTTTAAAGAGAAGATATATTTTAACAATTGAAAAACCTCTATGAAGTCATCCAGGTCAAGGCTGCCTCAAAGGTGTTTTTCCAAAAGGCAACTAGACTTTGAAAAACAAAGTCCTGTTACTTTTTGAGACATTGAAAAACACTACCCCAGCCAGATTAGTTTCCCTACAAATGCTGAGGGGGTTATTCTGGAGAGATGCAGCCTCTTGTTTCAGCACATAAAAAAACCAAGCACAGATGAATACAGTGGTCAGTTCACAAGACTAGACAACCCAACACATCATTGCCTTCCCACCTCTGAATTCATACCTGCAGCCTTGTGGTCCAACCTTCCCTCTCCCCCCAGGATTTTCGCCTTGCGTGGCATGCAGTGGGAGAGATCTTAGCTGCGTTTAGCAGACCTCAGTCCATGACAAAGCGGACTGGATTCTCCTCCATTCACTCCTCTGATCTTATCCGTTTTTGTTTTTGTTTTAATGGCAGCAAAAGAGGTACCAGTGGGAGCGAAGGAACGAAGGCGAAGGCAAGAAAGCAGCGCCTCCTACGTAACCCACCACCTAACTCAGGGGTAAGGCAACCTTGGCTCTTTTATGACTCGTGGACTTCAACTCCCAGAATCCCTGAGCCAGCCAAGCTGGCTCAGGAATTCTGGGAGTTGAAGTCCACGAGTCATAAAAGAGCCAAGGTTGCCTACCCCTGACCTAACTAAACGGCGATGGAGCCCAATTGCCCATTAGCCTTGAGAAGCAAAAGTCGGGTACCCTCCAGAAAGCCAGTTATCATTATTATTATTATTATTATTTTGCTCCGATTACCTTGATCCGGACATAGCAGTGAGTGCCCAAGGAAGGGTCACTGAGACATCCCGGCGGGTTCTCTCGGACCAGCCACTGGAAGGTCTTGCCTGGCCTGGTGCCCAGGCTCCACAAAAGTTTCAGCAGCTCGATGCAGGCGCAGAGACCACAGTAACTGTGCACCAGAGCCCAGAAGAGCACCGCCTTGATCCTCACCATGAGCCTGGCGGAGATGCACCAGCCAGGGGGGAGAAGCCGGGGAGCGCGCCCGTTCGCTCTCGTCCTCTTCCAGCAGCGGCGGCGGCGATGGGGGCGACGAGCCTTCACTCCCCCTCCCGTGAACTCAAGATGGGCTCTGCCAGCGAGAGGACAGCGCGGAGGAAGCAGAAATCAACAGCCGCATCGCGGCGGCGAAGGAACGGAGAGGCGCGCAGACCAGGCAAACTGGAAGGGAAGGGGGCCCGGAGAAAAGACACCGAGGGTGTTAACACGCCTTGCCGCACTTCACGCGCCCGCTGCTCCGTGCTAACCTCGGCAAGCCTCCGGGAAAGGCTCGCCGTGGTCACCTGGATCGATCGGCCGCGAGCTGCTCGCTTACTGACGCGAAGCGAGCACCGATTGCTAGAAACGCAATAAAAATAAAATAAAATCCACCCTCTCGGACGCGCCGATCGCCTCTCGCTCTTACGCTACGGTACAACCAGAAAAAGCGCCCATCTGCGTTCTCACGTTACAGTTCAGGAATGCCATCCAGAATAGACAAGAGCCGGAGGGCATAAAAAAAAACAACAACAGAGTTAGGGTGAGACGCCCCCCCTCCCTTTCCCCTTCAGACGACGCGTGCCGCAGTAATCCTTAGGTAGAGGTAATGGTGAAAAGTCTGTAAGTTTTGGCGTCGAGTGCCGCGACCATGCCTGCGAAGGAAGCGCGCAATTCGTCGCTTGGGCTCGGGCAACGCGTGGATTCTGGGCCGGCCCTCCGCGCGCGCGCGTGCGTGCGTCACTAGAGAAGATTCGGGGTCTGGGAAAAGGCCGGTTTGCATATTAACATTGCGGACGTGAGGAAGCGGCTGTTTTGGTTCAGCTGTCTTTGCGGACCGAACGATCTGCACCCTACCGAGTAAACCAGAGCCGTTATAAATGAGAAAGCGGGGAATAAAATTATGCATTTGGGGAAGTGGAAGGGTACGATAGGCTGGACCTGGAAGAGCTGTCATTTAAAGTTGTTTAGAAGTCATGTATTATACAACACCTCTTGGGAACTGTGTGTGGGCAGTGTTTCTCAACCTTGACAATTTTAAGGCATGTGGACTTCAACTCCCAGAATTCCACAGCCAGCATTGCTGGCTGTGGAATTCTGGGAGTTGAAGTCCACATGCCTTAAAATTGTCAAGGTTGAGAAACACTGGGTTAAGGCATCTGGCTAGAAACCGGGAGCCAGTGAAGTTCTAGGCCCGCTTTGGGCTCAAAAACGAGCCGACTAGCTGTGGGCCAGTCACTTTCTCTCAGCCCTAGGAAGCAGACAATGGCAAACCATTTCTGAAACGCCTTGCCAAGAAAATTGAGAGGGCTAGTCCAGACAGTCTCTGAGAATCGAACAGGATTCAACAGAAAAGTCTGCAGAACATAGTTCTTTGTTTCTACATATATATGTGTTTTTCAAAATTTGGATTGCTAACGAAGAATTAAGGGAGAACTGGAATAGCCATTTCGAACTTTTTAGTTCTTTTCAACCAGACATACCCTTCTGAGATTCGAACCTGGGCTGTCTGCATGTTAGGCAGATGTATTACCCTCTAGACCACAGGCTCTTTCTTTCTTTCTTTCTCCCATATTTGGGCCGACAGGGTGCACCAAACTCAAGATAATGTACATATGTAGGTATACATGCAACATTTAGTGGATGCCATTCTTATCACATGGTAACTCTAGGTGGCTTACAATCATAAAAGATAAATACATGTATACTAAAAACATAAGTTAATACAAGCCAAACATTAACTGAATCAACTCTCTGTGTTCAAACAGTAAGCATGCAAATCAGAGTCTGGCGAGTCTCTTGCTTGATCAGGGGTTGGACTAGAAGACCTCCAAGGTCCCTTCAAATTCTGTTTTTCTGTTTTGTTCTGTTGAAGTCTGAAGACTGGGGAAATAAAATGGAGCAAAGCTGCTGCAGGAAAATTTTAAATTCTGTAGATTGGAAGGAAGTATAGATGAGTCGGATGGTTTTTTAAAAAGTCACTGTAGTAGTGTTGGAAAGCAGGACAGGGACCCTGTGACCACTTGATACTGGAGTTCGATTAAAAAATTAAGAAATTGAAAGGGTTCAATTAAAAGAGAAGTCTTCCAGCCTCTAGATGTGTCAGGAAACACTGCAGCCATAATTATTATACTTCCATTTTAATTTAGGGGGACCAAGTTGAAAATACTGGTTAGTTCCTGATACCAGAGGTGAAACACAGTGGCAGGGCGACTCGTTTGTCTGCCTGCCTGCCTGCCTGCCTGATTCTCTAGTATGCTGGATATATTGAACAACTAGAGGCAGAAATCAAAGCCTTGATGAGGAATACAGGTAATTCTCACTTACCAAACATAATTCGGACTGGGAACTTCATCGCTAAGTGAGGTGGTGGTAAGACATGTAGTTCTGGCCGTCCATGTTGCCATCATTCAGCAGATCCTGTGCAGTCCCAGTGTCTCCTAGTCCAGGCGTCTTCAAACTCGGCCCTTTTATGACTTGTGTACTTCAACTCCCAGAATTCCTTAGCCAGGCATGCTGGCTGAGGAATTCTGGGAGTTGAAGTACACAAGTCATAAAAGGGCCGAGTTTGAAGACTCCCTGCCCTAGTCACATGATTACTCTTTGCAACCTATTGCTGGCTTCACCATTCACTGTTGATCGGAAGCCAGCAGGGAAGATTGCAAATTGTGATCATGTGAGAATGGTGCAACATCATAATTATGAGCCAATTGCTAAGTGGCCAAATTGCAATTACATGACTATGGGGATGCTGTGATGGCCACAACTACAAGGACCTCTGATCAAGTACCCTTTGTTCAGTGCCATTGTAACTTTGCACGGTCGCTGAATGAACATTAAACAAGGGCTACTTATAACATATTTCCTCACACTCTGATATATTCAAGCAATATTTTCATACATTACAAAATTGATTGGCAATATACTTAGCTAAAATGTAAGTGGCTTCTATGTAGTCTGGATTTTGCCTTTAAAGATAGGCTAGTTACTTTGATTTCCATAAGCATCAAGAAAAAAAATATTGCAATCTTCTTCCTTACTTTCTCTTTTACAGCTTTGAGTGTCATGGCAATATCATGTCTTAGGGACAAGGTGGGATTAAAGCACGCTTTCCCCCCAATATTAACTTTGCATCCTTTTTTTTTAAGCTATATGAGTTGAACTAGCTGAATTTTATCTGTGCAGAATTTTATCAGGATATATTTCTTTCCTGGAAAGTAGGAGAGATGCTAAGTAAGTAAGTAAGTAAGTAAGTAAGTAAGTAAGTAAGTAAGTAAGTAAGTAAGTAAGTAAGTAAGTAAGTAAGTAAGTAAGTAAGTAAGTAATAAATAAATAAATAAATAAATAAATAAATAAATAAATAAATAAATAAATAAATAAATAAATAAATAAATAAATAAGCAACAGATTATGGGATGGGGAGATAGGAGCAGGGCTACCAGATCTGGGCTGCAAAAATCCAGACCACCACTAGATGGGAGCAAATTCCTCTATGGGTGTTTGAATTGTGCAATCTGATTCTGATAGCTGTAAACACAAGTGCCATTTAATCATTGCTGGCATTCCCTGCCTCCAGCTTTGGTGATAGTAGAAGAATGGCAGTTGTTGCCTAGCAACCACTATACTTATTCCTTCCTTCCTCCAGACAGGACAACGATTAAAAAGGAAGAGAGCAAGAGAGATGATGTTCCTGAATGAAACCATGTCATTTTCTTCACCTCTAGATTGCAAGATTCAGCTGAAAGAAACGATTGAACAATAACAATTTTGTTTTTAAGTGGGAGTGATCTTGCAGGAGACAGCATGCTTTCCGCTTCAGATACCAAAAATGAGTCAGGCTGGGAGAAAAACAGCTTGGAGTAGCAGAGCACAGTGAGATAATGGTGAGTGCTGTTTCATCACTCTCCTTAGTGATGTATTTATAGTCCAGGGTTGAAGAACATGTAACTCTCCAGATATTGAATTGCTACTCCTAGCAGATCCAGCCAGCATAGCTCAAAATGAAAGGTCCTGGACATCATTATTCAGTAATATATGGAAAGCCGTGATTCTCCACCCCGATTAATCGTAATTGTCTGCCCATTCACCCCCATTGCATAGTTCCTTAACTTGACCATCACACGCACACATGTGGTTGACTCTAAGCTACAGAAGCTTCCTAGTTTTCAAAGTTGCTGTAAACATAAACAAGCTCGTTCACCAATAGTCTTCCCCATCTCTATTGCTGATCACCCATTCTCAGCTACATTCCAGGCTGAGTGTGTTGCAAGCTTCCCAAATCTCTTACTTCCTCATCAATCTCCGGCTTCAGAGATGGATAAAACTTGCTTCTCAAGTAACCAGTATTTCAGAGAATTTGTTTTCATATGGTAGAAATTTATTTATTTTTTAATTTATTTAAAACATTTATGCAGCCAACCAACTCTGGGCGGCTCCCAATCCAAAAGTAAAAGACATATAAAATCATTTTAAAACTATGAAACTCAACCAATTAAAATTTAAAAAACATCTGGGACCAATCGGTTTTACTGCGCAATCATCTAATCTTGCAACCTTTGATTAGAAAAGCCAGATCTTCAAAGCCTTAAGGAAGAAGGGAGTGAAGCCTGCTGAACTTCAAGTGGCAGAGTGTTTCATAGGGGAGCGGCTGCCTTGGAAAAGAACATTTCTTAATTTCCATCAGATGGCAATATCTAGGGGAAGGTACTAGAACAGGGGTGTCAAACTGCCGGCCCGCAGGACGGATGCGTCATGCCGAAACCGTGCCCACCCCATTGCCGGCAATGGAAAAAAAGTCAGGATATGTCGCGACACATCACATGACGTTGCGAGTTTGACACCCCTGTACTAGAAGAATGCCCACCCTATCTGACCTGTGGGATGGGTAGATGTCCTTAGGGAAAGGTGGTCCTGCAGATAGCCTGGCCGTGTGCCATGTAGGGCTTTAAAGGTATAACCAG